TTTTGAGAATTAATTTAAATGTCAGAAACTAGCAAGTATTTTTCATTCTCGTACTTTTTTTTTTAACCTCCCTGCCATAAAATATAGTGAAATATGTAAAGGAGTGATTAGTGCTGCAGTTAGCCTTTGGCCCTTACATACAAATTTGGCTCAATCCCAAAATTTCTGTTTTTAAAGTTTTGCAACAACAATCCTCTTCTTTATTCATGAAATAATTTTCCTTAGTGATCAATTACATATTTATTTAAATATATCATAAAAGAATAGGAATGTTGCTTGTCACACACAAATGGCTCTTAGAGTTACTGGTTTCATGCCAATGCCATCAACTTTCCAACAACAGATTGGATTGGTTAAGGAAGAAGCCATAAACAGCCTATCAACAAGTATTTATACAGATGTTAATGAATTTAAAATTCTGTTAGTGCCAAACTCCAATTTTATTTGTGCTTTATTCATGAGGTATGATGCAATAACTTCTTTTAATAAACATGTACAGACCACTTATACTTTATAATGGAAACATATTTTTAGTGTTTCCAGCATGAGATACATAGAATCAGCCATTTATCAAAGTTACCAAAAATAGTTCCATTGTATGTAGCATTTTGCTCATGATGTAACTATGTCCTCCAAAAGCTTTTCGTAAAGAGATGAACTCATCTCTATCCATGAAACCAAGAATATTTTTTTTATTATATTACTAAGAAAGGCCATTAGGAGAAAAGAAAATAGTCATGGGAAGGTTGCCATATGTATTTAAAATATAAATAATTATCTTTTTTTGTGTGTCCCAAATGATAATTGAATCTTAATCTCCCTGTGTGTAGGATATTATGATATACTGAAAATTTAGAAAACATTTATTTGAAGCATATGGGTTTAATGAACACTTATTTTTTTCATGAAGAAAAGAATAATATTTCCATTAATTTCAAAAGAGACTTCATTTATTTTAGTGAGCTTTTTAAAGCTGAACTGATTTCCTCTAGGACTGCATACACTGTGGACATTTTATAAAGTAACCTTATATGATGGAGTAGTTTTTGTTTGTTTGCTTTTTAATTTGCCACCTTTCATTGGCAGTTTTTATCCCAAGCTAATTATGATTTTTGGGGCTGAAGTTTCTACTGTAATGATTAAGTTAATTATATATAGGAATGTGTTATCCTCCACAATGCACAGGTTTATCTACATGCTAAAAATCTAAATCCCAGCTCAACACTTCTCAGGTCACTTATAGAACATTAATCAACTGTGACAATTATTCATTTCACAGGTATTTATTGAGCACTATCCTACTATGTACCCCTTAAAGAGTTTATATATAGTAGGAAAAACAGACACATGAATAGGAAAGGAAAATATAACATAATAAATGCTATCATGGAGTCTTTATAGGAACCTTTGGAGGACATTTCCAAGTTAACTTGAATAGGAAATATAGTGCTGACAGATCAAGGACTTACCCCAAAGAATATAATTTCCAAACTGAGACCTGAAGACAAATCAAAAACAACATTGGCAAAGTGGGTAATCTGAAGCATAGGTCTATAGGCAAAAGAAACCATTTTGAGTAATTATAATATTTTTGAGTGATTGAGGCAAGAATCTAACATGTGTCTGAAGGTATATGCATGGCTTGTATGCCATGCAAAAAATAAAAATAAAAAAATGAACTTAATCCAAGGGCAATGGAGAATCAGGAGTTTAACCTATGAAGCAGCAAAATTAGATTTATGCTTTAGCACGGCCATTTGCAGTATGGAGATAGGTACATGGGAGCAAGACCAAAACAAACAAACAAACAAAAGACCAGTGAAAAGGCTGTTAGAGTAATTCAGAAGAAATGATGGTAGCCTGATACAAAATAGTAGCAACAGGAATCCAGGAAATTTGACAGATTGAAAAGAATTTAAGAGGTAAAATATTCAGCTGTAGGTTGAGGAAGAATGCTGGTTCAGTACGACTCTGGTCTCTGATTTATACATTGACAATGGTGGTACCATTTGGGGAATTTGGAAAAAGTGGGATAATACATGAGTTCAGCTTTTTTACATACTCAGTTTAAATTATCTGTGCAATGTCTAAATGGCAAAGTTTTGGATGGATACGTGTTTCAAAAGGAGATCATGAAAATGATTGAAGAACTTGGATGAATATCCTCATACAGGAAAATTATAGCCTAAGAAAAAAAAAATGGGGCCAAGATCAAACCCAAGAAGAATCCTGAGATTGGAAGGGATGGCAAGGGCAGAGGAGCCCTTGAAGGAGACTGGGGTTTAGAAAAAGTCAGAGAAAAAACAAGGAGAGTGTAATGAAACAAAATACAAAGGAAATAAGACTTCAAATTAATGAAGCAAGACCCAAAGAAGTAGGAAAGGAGAGGAGGTAAAAGGTTTCAGTTTCTGCAGGCAGAATGGTGCCTCTTCTACAACGGAAAGGTTTTACTGAGCAGCCTGACTAATGACAAGCATCCATTAAGTTATCCATATCACCATTATTCTTCTTATGCAAGATGCTAAAAACAGAACTTCCTCTGCAAGTTTAAAAGAGTTAATTGTCTTTTCTTCTTCTCAGTGACAGGAGTAATCCTGAAATAGTTTAACCAAAACAAAATCAATTTCTTCAGTATATGAATTGCAGTATCTTCAAGTACATCCAGCCAACTTCACCAATATGTTTGTTCTGTTTCTTACACTGAGCACACGCCAATCTACCAATCTATGCCTTAGGGTTAAAATGGTTAATATGAATTGGGCCCTTACAGTGAAATCTCTCATCTTTACTCAGGACTGTTGTTTAGAACTTTGGCTGAAGTCTGATGTAAAACCACTTAGGATTTATGGAGTGTTATTGTAGAGCTGAGGAAAACTTTCCAAAATGAGTACTTTAAAAAGTGACTATTGCAAGTATATGTCATTATTTAAAAAAACAGAAAGACACAGATCATTTTTTTGTATTTTAGCTAAAAGCACAATTAAAAAAAAGCAAATAAAAATAAAAAAATAAAAGTACAATTGTTACACAAAGATTCTCCACATATCAAGAGTGATAAGGTTCTAGCTATAGGCTCAGTTGATTATCAGTGGTCACTGAGTCCTCACTACTTTCTATCACTGCCCTTATGGGCCCAACATCTGGTTTGGTTAACCAAGAAAGGCTGATAAAAGGTTTGGACTCTGCTGGAGAAAAGACTTAATGCTGTACAGTAACTGGAAGTGATAATGCCAAAAGTTCCCTTTGTTTGAGTCTCCCGTATAGTTTCTACATACCTATATGGTCAGTTACAAGAATGGTGTCTCCTCATGGATTCAACGGTCAGCTCTCTCATGGCAAGCCATTGCTCCTCCAATATAGCAAACATGGAGGGGTTGACTTAAGCTCAGGAAGCAAGAGATAGGGCCTTTTAGAAACATAAGGTGGCATGAGAAGCAACAGCAAGTTAACTTCACTAAGTTCACAAAGTTTAGAGAAATAAACACCTTGATTTTTAGCTTTCCTGAGAACTGGCCACCCTAATCTTTTTGAATTGAAAACGAGAGTCATTTCACCAATTTCAACAGCAACTTTTAAGGAAAAAAGACACGATAGGTATTTCATCCTCAGCATACAGAATGACAAATGTATGTATGAGTGTGTGTGCCACATGCATCAAGCATTTGTGGTTGGCCTTGCGTCATGCTTCATTTGTTTTCCAAACAACTTGCAAATAAATATAAGGTGACTTTCTGTGTGCAAAGATCTACAGTGAATTAATAAGATAAAATTTTAAATATTGGGTTTTAAATTATAGAATTCTTGTTAGCTTGATTACCAGGAGTTAGTTTTTAAGAAGTACCTTTCTCTGGTGTACTGTCAATCAAACTACAAAGCTAACAAGTCCCTAAATATGGTAATGGCTCAAAAAAAGATCAAGTCTATGGAGGAAGGGTCTAAAACAGCACGTGTTTGGTGTAGTTCGGAAATGTATACCATTGACGTAGTAGTAACATCCACAGATTAAAACAAACAAACAAACAAAAAAACAAACACAAATGTATAAATGTTATATTTGAATATAAAGGTTGGATTTTTAATTTTCTTTTTTCTTTTCCTTTACTATTTTCATTGTTTCCTTGTATTCTTACCTTATATAAATTTCTCCTCTTGCATATTCCCATATCCATTTACATTGTTATGCTTCCCAACTCCTTTTTTGAAATAGCTACTATGGCATAAGCACAGGTTCCCTAAACCTCATATTATTATATTCCAAGCTTAAAATATTGCATTAGCTTACACAAACCAAGCTGAATTTTATGCAAAATTAAAACTCTGTTTCAAATACCCTCAATATAATTTATGAATTCTACGTACGTATAAAGTTAGTATAAGAACAATTGACTTTAAAATCAGCCTGAAAAAACATCATAATGGACAGATATTCTTTTCATACTAGAATTGTACTCTACCAAATTTGATCTTTGTATTTTTCATGTAAAAACTAAAAAACAAGTCCTATGGGGCGCCTGGGTGGCGCAGTCGGTTAAGCGTCCGACTTCAGCCAGGTCACGATCTCGCGGTCCGTGAGTTCGAGCCCCGCGTCGGGCTCTGGGCTGATGGCTCAGAGCCTGGAGCCTGTTTCCGATTCTGTGTCTCCCTCTCTCTCTGCCGTTTCCCCGTTCATGCTCTGTCTCTCTCTGTCCCAAAAAAAATAAACGTTGAAAAAAAAAATTTTTTAAAAAAATAAAAAACAAGTCCTATAAAATGTTGGCTACAATGAAACATTTTCTTTTTTTTTTTTTTTTTTTTTTAAGATAGATGGGTTTGAAACTCAAGCAGGAAAATTACTGAAGTGACTGACATTTTTCTTTCAGATGACCTGACTCCCATGAATTAGTCTTTTTTTTTCCCCCTTTCTTTCTTTTGATAAAATTGTTTGCCTAGACTGAACTACTTGGCCAAAATTTGATCTCTTTAAATAACAAATAAAATTTCCATATTTTTCCCCAGGTAAGGAAGAAGAATTTATCTACAAGGATGCCACTGCAAATGAAAAATTAGAAAGGAGTAAAGAATACACATACCAATGGCTTCACACACAGGTTGGGATTCATGAAACAACTTGTTCCAGAAATATGAAATGGTGAGGTCATTTCCTTTAAATTAGATTTTTGTATTGTAAACACATCTTGAAAAGTGAAACCTAGGTTAATTGTGCTAAAACAAACATGACTTTATAGCCAAAGGCCAATACATCACGTTGCCAGGTTGTAAAAGGCCTCTTACATAGAATAGATTTAATCACTTTTTATATTTTTTACCCTAAAATGTTTGAGAACTCTGTTTCTGTGATGCTTAAAACTGAGATGAACCACACAAATGATTCTACTATATAAAGTTAAATGCATGGTATCCATTAACTGTTTAAATATCATATGTATTGGAGGTAGTATTTTATTTTGTGTCCTTTTTATGTTTGGCAGTTAAAATTATAGTTCAACACTGCTGCTGCTGCTTTACCATTTGTATAACTAATTTTCAAGGATGTCTCCATGCTACAGTTTCCTCTTTTATAGTAGATAATATGTTATCTATCTATCTCACAGGATAGAGGTGAGCTCACAAGGTGGAGAATATCAATATATATTCTCAATAAACACATCCTTTAACAATAAACAAGATACCTTGAATCTAATAGGTAATTAATTAATTTTTGTTACATTAATGTACATATTAGTTTGCTAGGACCTTTGTAACGAAATACCATAAATTGTGTGGCTTAAACAGCAGAGATTTACTTTCTCACAGTTCTGGAGGCTATAAGTTCAAGATTAAGGAGTCAACAAGTTTGGTTTCTTTGAAGGTCAGTCCTCATGGTTTGTAGATGGCCACCTTCTCACTGTGCCCTCACATCATCATCCTTCATTCTCTTTGTGTTTTAATCTCCTGTTTTTATAAGGACACTGGTCATATGATATTGGAGCCTACCAATATGAACTCATTTTACTGTAATTACCTCTTTCAAGGCTCTATCTCCACATATATCACATTATGAAATGTTGAGGGTTAGTACTTCAACATATGAATTCTGATGAAACAAAATTCAGCTCATAGCAATTTAGTATAAACCACTGAACCAAAAGTTATAGGAAAATAATAAAAGTCCAGAGGTAATATTTTGGAAAATATTTTCAAGACTTTTGTTTAACTACATGTGTCCAGAAAAAGAATTTAAAAAGTGCTATTATAAACACTTACTAAATATATAAATCGATATTGAATCTAAATGTAGCTGACACTTTGGAAATGTTTCCAGGCATTATAGTAACTATTTAAATGACTAACAAAAGACAAACAAAATCCTACAATTATGAGGGTTTACCCTAATTTAGAAGCAAGTTAAAATATGTAAAAAAATGAAATCTTTTTGTAATATATATAAATTGAAATGTTCACATGTGGTCAATTCTATCCATATAATTCCTTTATGTTTAAATTTTTTTTTTTCAACGTTTTTTATTTATTTTTGGGACAGAGAGAAACAGAGCATGAACGGGGGAGGGGCAGAGAGAGAGGGAGACACAGCATCGGAAACAGGCTCCAGGCTCCGAGCCATCAGCCCAGAGCCTGACGCGGGGCTCGAACTCACGGACCGTGAGATCGTGACCTGGCTGAAGTCGGACGCTTAACTGACTGCGCCACCCAGGCGCCCCTAATTCCTTTAAAAATATGGAAAAGGGAGTGAAGAATGAAAGTTAAATTAAAACAATATTTTATAATCTGGATTATTTTGTCCTATTTCATTGTGAGCAAAGAAAATAGGAATAAAGCAATCAACATTTGAGAACATTAAGTATTATAATTAATGCAAGCACAATTTCTTTTATGTTGGTGTTAATCAATTTAATGTAATTCATAAGATGGCATCCTTAAAACTATAAACAAATATAGTGTAACTTATAGTTTATCATCGATCTTAATCAGATGTAAGAGGTCTTATTCAGAGATTTTTAAAGTATTAGGATAGATAAGGTGAAAAATATAAGCAAAATGTTTCAGAATATATTTTAGACATATTTAAACACTTAACAATATCCTTTACCCCTAAATAAGTTATATTTAAACACATGATATAACAGGAAATTGTTCATAGCTTTTCTCTCTTGAAAATATATAAAGGAATAAGTAGATACTCTGAGAGAAATTGTTTTCAAGAACAGAAGTTCTTGAAAAGCCAAATGTCAATATTCTAGTTTTATTTATTTTTTTAATTTTTTTTCAACGTTTTATTTATTTTTGGGACAGAGAGAAACAGAGCATGAACGGGGGAGGGGCAGAGAGAGAGGGAGACACAGAATCAGAGGCAGGCTCCAGGCTCTGAGCCATCAGCCCAGAGCCTGACGCGGGGCTCGAACTCACGGACCGCGAGATCATGACCTGGCTGAAGTCGGACGCTCAACAGACTGCGCCACCCAGGCGCCCCAATATTCTAGTTTTAAACAGAAATGAATTGTGAGCATTAGTATAATACTTTAAACACATTACAGATATTTTTTTTTTAATTTTTTTTTCAACGTTTATTTATTTTTGGGACAGAGAGAGACAGAGCATGAACAGGGGAGGGGCAGAGAGAGAGGGAGACACAGAATCGGAAACAGGCTCCAGGCTCTGAGCCATCAGCCCAGTGCCTGACGCGGGGCTCGAACTCACGGACCGCGAGATCGTGACCTGGCTGAAGTCGGATGCTTAACCGACTGCGCCACTCAGGCGCCCCGACATTACAGATATTTTAAAAATAAGAACCTTTGCCTTTCTAATAACACAAGTAAGATATATAAGTAAAAGTAAATAAAATATTTATATGTTCTATAATTTATTAACTATCATTGGTACTTTCAAATTTTTGCCCTTTATACCTATTTGTGTTTGGCAAAGAAGAGTGGCATTAAAGTAGTGTTTAGAAATTTAAATTTTATGTCAAATTGAATTTTCAAATGACAATGGAAAGATACATTTGTATATATGTTTGCATATAGCCCAATTTAATAAAACTATTATTTCCACTTTGTAAATTACTGATTCCTCCCAAACTTTTCACTGGGCATTTCTTTAATATTCTTCCTCTACATTTATATAATAATATGATTTTTGTTTTTGTCACTCTGCAGCAAACACTTCTTGCCTGAGTTAGATCCAGATATACTTAACGGTGGAAGAGTTCAGCTTGTGGTAAGAAATGTGTTTAAAGTTACAAAAAAATGTTGTAGACACTAATCCTTAGTAAATGGCACTTTAAAATACGTCCATAATTAGTGTAAATTATGAAAATATCACAACTCTATCTATTTGGGGTGATCTCAAAATATTGTATATTAAAATAATAACCTGTAATAATGTTTTCTTGACTTGTAATATAACTTTCAAATCTGATATTTTTTAAAATATTGATTCTATATGACAGATTTTAAAATATTAGCATACTGCCACATTTAAAATAATATTACTACGAATAGGAATTGCATAATGAACTTATTTACTTGAATATTTTAAAAGAATAGGATACTGAGGGAAACGTAAAAGTGCCCTCACAAGTTGGAAAATCAAACCAGATAAAAATTAACAAGTAATTGTGACTCAACCACTCTAAGTAATGAAATAAAAGGTATTGGAACTTTAGGAACAACCAAGTTTTAAACATGGTGACCAGAGTGTAAGACTCTAGACAGTATAACTATATGTGCATTGCAAAAGTCAATTGGGCTATACGCTATCAGAAGGAAGACTATGTTAACAGAAGGAGAATGGCAAACATGGAGTCTAGAGAAATGGAGCCCACAAAACAAGCAATTGTCAGTATGTTTCCAAAAGTTTCCAGAGAAGAGGGTACCCTAACCAATGACAGAAGTGTGCGGTCTCTTTGGCAGGTGAAAATGGATGCATCAGGTGACCCTAACTTTATGACACCTTTCATTTATAGCAACCTATTAATACTCCTTGCACAGATTCTACATTCACCAAAAAAACTAAATATAATTTAGCTTGCCAAGTAGCACTTAGCATAAAAAGATAATGCACTTTCTAATGGAACCTAGTATGATGGTATCAAGAGCAGTTATATTCACCATTCTTAGGAACAACTCATTCAAGGAGTTTTCCTGACAAGGGAGCAAAATTAGGGCAATAGCTAAAATTAATGTGTTTATGAAAATATTTATAGAATCTATACATAAATTTAAAATAATCATTAAGCAAATATTTTCTTGCATTTTAATAGAGACTCCTCTGGCACAGTGGCATGTTGATTGCTCTAGGAAAATTGATACTTCAAGCTATGAACACCATGCGTATTACTAACAATTACGCACAGATTGTTGAGTTGCCACTTGGGAGGAAGAATGCCATGATAAAGAAAGTGATTTTATATTTAACCATTATACTTCCTAAAATGAATGAAAACAGACTGGGTAGATCACTAATCAAAATGGTTCTATGAGAGTAATGCTCTGACATTAATCTCTCTCCTCCTATATCCCACTGTATTGCACTATGTTCAAATATGTCACAAATACATATCAATGATAAATGCTTTTCTGATATTGAAGAGGTACAGGTGAACACAAAACAAGGTAAATGGTAGTATATAAGAAACACAGCTTTTGTTTGTTTTTTTTTTGTTTTTTTGTAAACAGAGATAGGAGAAGGGTTAACTAAGGACTTATGTCAAAAGGATACTGGACTAATTGAAGGCCCAGAGCAGAAAGACTCTTGCAGAGACTTGGGAACATACTGGGGAATGTTCCGATAATTGCACAACTGGGACCAGACCATAACTAAGAAGAAAATTAAAAAACAAATCAGCAATGGCTACCACTATAAGATCCTTAAGACATAAGGAAAACACTCATAATAGAAGGACAGAAAATCATGAAACAAAGTGATCAAATTTTAATTAGAAAAAATCAGCAAATAAGCCTACTATAAATTCTGAATATATAAAATATTACCATTGAAATCAACTCTGCACTGGACACCATAAAAGAGAGACTTAGTGAATTGAAAGAGGATCTACAAAGGAATAGTAATTAGATTGACAGCTGACATTATAGCAGAACTAATTCATACCAAAAGACAGTGGAATTACTTCTTAATAATAAAGATTGATATAAATATTATCCAAAATATTCTTCACTAACTTTCAGGAGAAATAATGAGATATAATCCAATACTCAAATTCTGGGTTTTAAGGAAGCTAATAAGTAACATCTCTGTCTTCTAAACAAGATCAAAGCATTTTATGTGGCAGACAGGACTGAGAAGAATGAAAACAAGATGTCACTTTACTTATTTCCAAATACATATCAGAAGGCATGCCATAGATTTAGACAATTGCTAATTAAGTTTATTCCCCCAAAACTCCAGGATTTTTCTGCAGAAGGTGGTCTTAGTTCCCCCAGAAAACATATTCTGAGATTCTTGTATTTGAGTGCAGGACATTCGTTGGGGAAGGCTTTCAGAAACGACTCCCTTGAGTGGTGAAAGAAACAGGATTGAGCAGAGGGAAAAGATAAAATGCAATAGAGTTGCAGCAGGAGAAGGGAGCCCCAGTGGTAAGAAGGCCCTTTTAAATTGTGTTAGCATATGAGGTAAGAAGATCAGGCTTTTACGCTACTGCATCTCCTCAGAAGAGGCTTTGGCTTAGCCAGGGCAACCATCTTTAGCTAAGGACAATTTCCAGAGATGTATTCAGCTAAGAGCCCATAGGCTTCAACTTTCTCAGCAACTGGAAGAATCTGACTCAGTTGTTACATGTGAGATATGATAATACCCAGTATACTTACCAAGTTTATCATCCATAGATGCAACAACTTAGCATCTAAAATGTGTCAACTGTCTCCAAATAAATCTATAAAATTGCAAATCTATCAATTTGCAAATCTGTAGAGCTGCTTGTTTTAGGAACCTGAAAAATCTCATTCTACAGATTTTTTTCCCTAATGTTTTTTTTACTTTTGAGACAGAGAGGGAGACAGAGCATGAACAGGGAGGGCAGAGAGCGAGAGGGAAACACAGAATCCGCAGCAGGCTCCAGGCTCTGAGCTGTCAGCACAGATAGTGACACAGGGCTCGAACTTATCAACTGGGAGATCATGACTTGAGCTAAAGCTGGTCACTCAACCAACTGAGCCACCCAGATGCCCCTGAAGAATCTCATTCTAAAATGTGTATTGATGAATAAGAGCCCAATGTTATGTAAATCAACTTTGAAAAAGAAAAGCTAACTTGTATCACAAGATATAAAGACTTAATATAAAACTAAACTTTATGGTACAAATATACCAATGGATATAAATAGTTTAGAAGTAGACCTGTGACTGTATAGAAAAATATATGATAAAGATGAGAAAGTTTAAAATTTTTAGTACACAGAATTCAGTAAACTAGCATTAAGAAATAGCACTGAACATAAACCATATTCAAATGGAATTTAGAAGATTTGAAGTCTCAAATGTGAAAAGTGAAGTTATAAAACTGACCAAATAAAATAATTAAGAATATATTTGCAACTTATCAGTAAATAAAGACTCTTTTAAAAGATACAAATGATACAAATTATATGGCAAATAAAATTGATTGACTTGTGTTAAATTAAATATTACTTCCTATGAAAGATTTTATGGAAAAAGTTAACAGACAGATTACAGATATGGGCAAACTATTTTCAGTGCCTAAAAGTAACAATAGCTTAATATCCATATAAAAAGTAAGCTTCTGCAAATAAACAATATAAAGTCAGGTAACCTAATGAAAAAAAGTATATACATACAATAGAAAATGTGTATATAGACAGTTTACAGAGTTTATGCCTAAATGCATAAATGTACATAAAGAGATGCTCAGTTACATGACCAGAGAGATAAGAATTAAAGCTAAGAAGTTTCATGACTATCCTCATCAGAATGGCAAACATTAGAAAATTGGGTAATGCAAAGTGCTATTAATGATGTGGAGACACTGATGTACAGCTCATGAAAATAAAAGCTGGTACAGTTATTTTGTAAAGAAATCTGTCAGAATTTATTAAAATAGTTCCTTGTATGCTCTATCAGATATTAGCAGCAAACTTTAGAAAACTTAACTTAAAAATAGTCTATTTACCGGGATGCCTGGGTGGCTCAGTCAGTTAAGCGTCCAACTCTTGATTTCGGCTCAGGTCACGATCTCATGGTTTGTGAGTTTGAGCCCCATGTTGGACTGTAAGCTGACAGCACAGAGCCTGCTTGGAATTCTCTCTCTCCCTCTCTCTCTACCCCAACCCTGACTTGTGCTCTCTCTCACTCTTAAAACAAACAAAGATTTTAAAAATTAAAAAAAATATTCTATTTACACAATGTAAAAACATAAAATATTTAAGAATAAATGTTAACATTAAGATGTTCAAAGATCTTATAATGGTAACCACCAAATATTGCTTTAAAAATTTCAAAAAAATATACCACACTCATGCATAGATTCAAATTGTAAGATGTCAATTCTCAATGCTCTATAAATTCAGTAGACTCTTAGAAAGATTTTTAGTAGAAATGGACAAATTATAAAATGTGGAAATGCAAAAGACCTACAATAGTCAATACAATCTTGAAAAATAAGACTCACAGTACCTGATCTCAAGACTTCCTATAAAGTCCCAGTAATCATGACTATATGTTATGTGAATAAAGACAGAAAAATCAATTAGTAGAAAATAATAGTCCCGAAAATACCACACTTACAAGGTTAGTTGATTTTGCTTAAAGGTACTAAAGCAATTAACAGAGGGAAGAAATAATATTTTTTTCAACAAATAGTGCTGGACCCCTGTATATCTACAGGGAAAAATGAATCTTGATTGCTATTTCACACCTTAAAAACCAATTTGAGGTGAATTATGGGCCTAGATGTAAATGCTAAAATTATAAAACTTCTCTGGGCACCTGGGTAGCTCCATTGGTTAAGCATCCAACTTCAGCTCAGGTCGTGATCTCACGGTTCATGAGTTCAAGTCCCACATCGGGCTCTGTGCTGACAGCTTGGAGCCTGGAGCTCGCTTCGAATTCTGTGTCTCCCTCTCTCTCTGCTCTTTCCCTGCTTGCACTCTGTCTCTCTCCCTTTCTCAAAAATGAATTAACATTAAAAAAATTTTAATTATAAAACTTATCAAAGAAAACAGCAAGGTATTTTCATCTCCTGCT